TTTTGGTGTTCATCCCTCAGCCTCTGATCCTGGAGATGGTGCTCACTGTTGTTCTGTAGTTGTGCTCATCAAAGGGGAAACATAAAAGTAGAACAAAACTGCAAAAAAAAAAAAGAAACCCACAATGTGTTCCAAGTTCAAATGCAATATAGTTTCAGTAAGTTTTCAACAATCAGGTGTAGTTCAGTTGTTTTCTCATGAAAGGTAGGGAGAGAGAAAGACAAAGTTCTGTGAATGGCTATCCGTGGCTGTGTTTTGCCTGCCTGCTGGTGTCAGCCTGGTGACATTATGTATGCAGATCTCTGGGGTGAGTTTAGCACTCACCTGGCCCAGCAGGCTTTGTTTACTCAGAGTTCTGTGTGCAAGCCACTGCTACAAGCTTTCCCCTTTCCAAGCACACTGAGGAAGGTGACCCTGTACCTGCTTTCTCAGGCCTGCATGTTTATTTACAGTTCACGTAGGAAGTGGGTCTTCCCCCCTCTCCTGTGGAGTTTTCCTCCCACTGCTGCTTTTACAAGCTTTCCTGCTCCTGACTGCTGTGCGTGTGCTGCTGCTCCTCCCGGCCGGTGTGTTTGTTTATGACTCACGTGGGAGGTGGGTCTTCCCCCTCTCCTGTGGAGTTTTCCTCCCTCCTCCATTCTCACAAACTTTCCCGCTCCTGGTTGCTGGGTGCATGCCGCCGCTCCCACCCTCTCCTCTCAGGCTGGCCCATCTTATTTATTTACAGTTCCAGGAGGGGTTCCCCTCACCCCCTCTTTGGCACTCAGGGCGCCCCACCTTCTTGGCTACATGTCTTTGTTCTTATTGCTTATTACTCAGTTTCTGTTTTTCCCCAGGGTGGAGGTCGGTCTGTCCAGGGGGCTATGCTGATCTGGCCCAAGGTTGTCTGTGGAAGTACTGTGTACTGCTTAGCTCACCTTGTCTGCGTCTTCCCAAGCCGTCTGGGTGCAGGTGTCTGGCGGCCCGGGCCCTCCTGGTTTCTCCGTTTAACATGAAGTCGAGATTCTCTGTGCAGGCTGGAGGCGTGGAGGGGTCAACGTTTTGCCTCTTCTCGGTGACCTTGCCTGCAAGGTGTGTCTCCAGCATCTCTCCAAGATTTCACTATAGGAGGCACGCTTTCTGCTTCCTCCCTCTAGCCGCCACCTTTGATCTCTTAATATTGTGAATTTTTTACTATAATTTGTTCATCTCTGTGTTTGTGGTGGTCTCAGTTTCAGTTTGACGTTTATTTAGGACGTCTATGATTTCATTTATTTGGTTTTGTGTTTTCTCACATTCTTTATTTTTGTCCTCTTGGAATTTCTTGAGTTCCTCCTGTACATTTTGGTTGACCATGTCTAGTAACATCTCTATGAAATTCTCATTAATTACTTGTAGGATTTCTTCTTTCAGGGTGTTCTTGTGGGCTTTGTTAGGTTCCTTGGTATTGTTTATCTTTGTTTTGTTGGAGTCTGTGTCTGGGTATCCGTTTTCTTCATTTCACTCTAAATCCTCACTACTTTATTTTTTGGGGGGAATAGTTTCCTTCCCTTTTTCTTCTTCCCATATTTCCACCAGGTAACATTTCTATCCCTGAACTTTGTGTAATTTAGTATTAGCTGGGTAGCAGTATTAATACTAAGAAAACCAAGAGAGAAGGATAAAAAAGAGAGCGATATAAAGGTAAAAGGAATAGCGTAGAGAGGAAAAGAGAAAAAATGATAGAGATGGTGGATGATCAAAGAGTAAACCAGGCAGCAAATCCCTTAAAGAAGGGATAAAATAAAAATTAAAAACTTGAAAAAAATAGTCACTAGTTCTGGAGTAGTAGAATTGCAGTCTCAGTTGTTCTGATGCTAGTTCTTTAGCATCCAGACCTGTCTATGTCTCTTAGGTAGGTTTGGAGCCTTCCTGTGGCAAGTGGATGGTGGGTGGTGTCCCATGGGCCTTTGGGTGGAGGCCTTTAGCTGAGGTGAAGTAGCAGGTCTTTGGAGCGTAGGCTTGGCATGCCTGAAGGGTGCAGGCCAGCGGAGTGGAGATCTTGGTTGTCTATGAATCCCTGGCTTGACAGACTTGGGGGGCGTGGTCAAGCAGAACAGAGATCGTGTGTGTGTGTGTGTGTGTGTGTGTGTGTGTGTCCGGCTTGGCAGGCCTTAGGGGCACAGCCTTGCAGAGTGAATATTGTGCAATGCTGTACAGGCTTTGGGGGCTTGGCTGGCAAAGCAGAGATTGTGCAGGGCTGGGGAGCGTGGTCCAGCGAGATGGAGCTCCTGCAGAGCTGTGCAGGCCTTGAGAGTGTGGCCAGCAAAGCAGAGAGCATGCAGGGCTGGGGAGCATGGCCCTGCAAGGCAGAGCTCCTGCAGGGCTGTGCAGGCCTTGGAGCCTCGCCAACAAAGCAAAGATCGTGCAGGGCTGGGGAGTGCTGCCCAGCCAGACAGGGCTCCTGCAGGGCTGTGCAGGCCTTGGGAGCCTGGCTGGCAAAGCAAAGATCGTTCAGGGATGGAGAGCGCAGCCCAGGAGACGGAGCTCCTTCAGGGCTGTGCGGTCCTGGGTGGTGTGTGGCCTGGTGGAGATCATAAATGTCTGTGGATCCCTGGTCTTAGGGGCTCGTTCCATGGAGATCCTACAGGTCTGAGGGATGGGAGTTTGGCGTTGCACAGCCCTGGTGGGGCAAAGGAGCAGGGCTGGAGAATTTGAGATCCCACTGTGTATGGAGCAGTGGCTCTGCGGGCCTATGGGGCAGGGCTTGGCTTGTAGCACCTGCTATTCTTTTAGTATATGGTGGAGTGGAGAGGCCTCCCAGGAGCTAGGGGTTCAGAGTGCTGATATTTCAGCTCTCCCTGGTGTTTTACCTCATTCAAGCAAGTCTCCAGCTTCTTGTCAAAGTCCCTGGATCACAGAGGTCAGAAGGTCTGTGGTCAGGTCTGTGGCTGTGTTCTTGTCGCCATCTTGGATCTCTCAATCTCAGCCTCTTGAGTAACTAGGATTATGCATGTGAGTTAGTGGTGCCCAACTCTAAATTTTTTTTGGGAGGAGGGTTTCCTTTTGAGGAACTGGGGTTTGAACTCAGGTCCTCACACTTTCTGGGGAGGAGCACTACCACTTGAACAATACTTCCAGCCCTTCTCTTGAACTTTTTAATGCACACATAATTGTGGATATTTCTGTACTAATATGATAGTTCAGAATTTGTAAAGAATGTGTATGGAGTAGATCAGACTGCTTGCCGTTTCTGTCACCTCAGTTTCATTTCTTCAGCTTGGGAACATTCAAAATCTACGTTGGTACATTTTGAAACATACACTAAATTTTTGTCAATGTTGGTTGCTCTGTTGTGTGTTTTGTTTTGTTTTTTTTTTCCTTTCACAGCACTAAGGTTTGAAGTTAGGGCCTCATTCTTCTTAGGCAGACACTCTTACTATTTGAACTACTCAGCCAGCCATTTTTTATGCTTTTGTGTTTTTTTTGAAATATGGTTTCTTGAACTATTTGCCTGAGGCCGGTTTTGAATCAGGATCCTCGTGATCTCTGCCTCCTAAGTAGTTAGGAGTCTAGGCCTGACACTGTTGCCTTGGCCTCTTGGGTGCTTTGAACTTTTATCCTTCATTGGTCTTACATAATGATTAAATTTGGTCTGTGGAATACTAGGTTCAAGCTTTCAAATGTTGGCTCTTAATGTAATTGTAGAGGATGTGCTGCATGCCTTGAGCAAGCAGTTGTGAGAATGGGCTTCAAATACTGTGTCAGGGAAACCTGTAGAGTGTCAGTGCCCAGGGAGCCATTGGACACTGGTCACTGAGGCTTCCTGTATTGATTTTGTCAAAAGTGCAAACTTTCAAAGGGAGACAAGTGAAGGAGATAGCATAGTGTTTGCATGAACTGTGTAGGCAGACTAAGCTCCTCTCCTCAGCTAGATGGCTGAGGTCCATCCCAACACCAGTTCCCAGGTGCAAGGAAAGGTGGAGGAGCTTCGGGAACACGTATGTCTATGAATGCAAAGTCTCAGGATTGTCAATTTTAATTCTGTTCTGTACACTGAGTAGTAGATCATGGGAATTTGGCACATGCTTCAGATCCCACTGTACAGTGAGACTTAGGGACGACCCAGCAGCACATTTGAAGTCACCAGTGAGACTGTTCTGTTTCTTTGTGGAAGTATTCAAGTCTCTAGTATCAGAAAAACAGATATGTGAGTGTGGACAGAAGGAATAGTCATGCAGGACATGTTTAGAGTTCTCAACATCATATGAACTTGTGAATTGAGTCTAGGCCCCAGGTGCTGTCCATCTTACCCTTTCTCCTGAACACATGGATCTTGTAGGAGTCGGTGACCTTTGAGGATGTGGCTGTGAACTTCACCCTGGAGGAGTGGAGTTTGCTGAATCCTTCCCAGGAGAATCTGTATAGATCTGTGATGCGGGAAACCATCAGGAACCTGCATGCTGTAGGTAAGGGTGACATCATGCCTTCACTGAGTCAAGGAGGAGGTGTCTGTACTCACCAATGTTGATCAAAGGTTTTGAATATGAGAAGGAATGCTTTTGTGAATAAACTAGGCATGGTTGCAAGGGAACTTCAACCTAAACTCAATTTTCATATAATTTTGTATTAATTCATAATAGTTTTTCTGTATCTATCTTTTAGGACAAAAATGGAGAGACCAGAACTTTGAAAAGGAGGACCAAAATCTTGGAAAATATCTAAGGTAAATTGCACTCAGAAGAGGAAGCTATTTCTCAGGAAATTTGAAGTGGCAGCAAGTATTTCAAAGAAAGCAAATACGTTGTGGCACACCTGTCATCCTACCACTTAGGAGGCTGTGGCTAGAGGATCAAAAGTTCCAGGCTAGCTGGACTGCCTAGTGAGTTGGAGGCCTGTCTACATGAAGGACCCTGCCTCAAAATGTACATATCCTCTGTCACTGTCTGTCTGTCTCTCTCTATATATATAGTTGTGTTTGCATGTGTATCTCTATAATATATTCTCTATGTAGATATTTAGATATATAAATAGATCGTCTAAGTCTTTATATAGCATGAACATCTGTAGCTCAAAAATTCAAAGATCCTAGACTTCTTGACTACAAAATGATGCCACAAATGACACTTTATGATGGTTTATTGCACACACTTTTGTTTCATGCCCAAAATTATTGAAAATGTTATAACATTATCTTCAGGGTTTGGGTATAAGGCACATATGAAACACAGTTGAATTTTATGTTTACACTTGGGTTTATCTCTGAGGTATTAATATATATTTGCAGAATCCAGAATCCAAATTCCAAAAACACTTCTTTCTCATCCCATAAATTTTAGATGATGGATCCTTGAGCTATATGTAAATGTAACACAGATGTTCCTTGAGCTATATGTAAATGTAAAACAGATGTTCAGTATTTGCCTAATCCAGAATCCAAAACACTTCTCAGCCCATGAATTTTAGATGATGGTTCCTTAAGCTATATGTAAATGTACCACAGATGTTCAGTATTTGCATAATAAGTGAATGTGGAGACAGTGTTAAGGAACCCCATGTGAATATCACTCTGATGACCCTGGCGGTTATGCCCACCTGTTGAGTATTCAGTCTGTTCACATTCAGGGAGTCTCTACATTATATAAAGCCTGTGGTTTTCCTGACAACCAAAAAAATGTAACTGTGCTACCAATGAATAAATGTGAAATCATTGAGAAAGAAACTCTTTGTAACATAACTTTTGTTACAGAAGTCAAGCAGTAGAGAGGCTCTGTGAACATGAAGAAGGCTGTCAGTGGGGAGAAACCTTCAGCCAGACTCATGAGATTGTGAACAAGAAAACTCCTGGAGCAGTACCATGTGAAAGCCGTGTGTGTGGAGAAGTCCTCGATGGTCACTCTCCTGGAAATGTGCCCTGCAGGGATCATAGTATACACAAACCATATGAGTACCCAGGATGTGGAGAGAAGCCACGTATACGTAAGGAACATGGGGAAACTTTCCGTTCTCCCAAATTCCTTAATAAGCACGAAAGGACTCACATTGGAGAGAAACCCTATGAATGTAAGCAATGTGATAAAACCTTCAGATATCTCAGTTCTCTTCAAAATCATAAAAGGATTCACACTAGAAACAAACGCCATGAATGTAAACAATGCGGGAAAACCTTCAGGAGACACAGTAACGTTCAAGTCCATGAAAGAAGTCACACTGGAGAGAAACCTTATGTTTGTAAACTGTGTGAGAAAGCCTTCACTTCTTATACTTCCCTTCGAACACATGAAAGAAGTCACACAGGAGAGAAACCATATTTATGTAAGCTTTGTGGCAAAGCCTTTACTCAATCCAGTTATCTTCAAATACATATAAGAAGTCACACTGGAGAAAAACCCTATGTATGCACTCAGTGTGGGAAAGCCTTTCCTGATTCCAGTCACCTCCAAATACATAGAAGAAGTCACACAGGAGAGAAACCATATTCATGTAAGCAGTGTGGCAAAGCCTTCACTCAGTCTAGTTACCTTCGTATACATAAAAGAATTCATACTGGAGAAAAACCCTACACATGTAAGCAATGCGGGAAAGCCTTCACTCGTTCAAGTCACCTTCAAATACATAAAAGAACTCACACTGGAGAAAAACCCTATTTATGTAAGCAATGTGGCAAAGCCTTCACTCATTCCAGTTACCTTCAGATACATAAAAGAATTCACACTGGAGAGAAGCCTTATGTGTGTCAGCAGTGTGGGAAAGCCTTTGCTCGCTCCAGTTCCCTTCACATACATGAGAGAACTCACAAAGGAGAGAAGCCTTATGTATGTAAGCAGTGTGGGAAAGCCTTCACATGGTCCAGTTCCCTTCAAAGACATGAAGTAGTTCACACAGGAGAAAAACCCCATGTGTGTAAGCAATGTGGGAAAGCCTTTAGTCGTTACAGCAGCATTCACAAACATGAAAAGACTCACACTGAAAAGAAACCCTGTTAATGCGTTGAATGTCAGGACACTGTCAGGTGTCCCAATTACTTTTGAGTCCATGAAACAACTCACACTGGAGATAAATCCTGCCTGTGTAAGCAATGTAAGAAGCCTTTGTTGAATCCACTTCCCTTTGATATCATAAGGGATTCTCAGTGGACAGAACACTTTGGATGTAGTTTGGGAAAGTCCTCGATCATGCCAGTTCCTTTCACACATGCAAGACTCACACTGGAGAGAAACTCTTAAGTATAGAATGCAAGAAGGATTCATTATTATGTGACCTTCTTAGCACTGTAATATTCACAGTATAAAGCACCTAGGAATATCTTGGGTCATCTAAGTTCAATTCACAGATACAAAACACACAGTATGAAAAGAAACCTCTTAACAGTGTGTAAGTCTACACTTTGCCCATTTGGAAGAAGAATGCACACCATGTCAGAATAATGTGAATGTGAAAAACACTCCCCAAGTTGTCAGTTTTTTGTGTATGGTAGTATGTGCCTGTTACTCCAGAACTTGGGAGTCTCAAGCAGGAGGATCTCAAATTTGAGACCCTGTTTCCTGGCCTCATCCTACAATGGCTACATTGTAACACCCTGAAAGGAGAGAAAAATAGTTTCAATTTTAATAGATAATTTTGTTCATGACTATTCCTTTCTTTGTGAAATCCTACGAGCCAGATTAATTTGAGGAAACAAAGCAATTTGTGTAATTTGTGCAAAATGCTCCAGAAAATACCTGACCTCAAGGAAATATTCTAAGAGGGTTTGTACTAGTGACTCATTTTTAAACTACACATCTTTACGGTATGTTTGTCTAACTCACACTCTTGAAATGTGATGACATAATTCTGTAAGTACCATATAGGCAGCAGAATGTAGGTTTATGGGTACTGTTTATTTTACTCCCAGCAGGTAATAAAATTTTCTTTATCCTACTGGCCTTGGGTGACAGGTTCTAAATATTTATTATGTTTTATTGATGTTCTATCTTTTTTTTTCATGGACCAAATGACATTTTGGGGGATGATGGTTTAGGTCAGTAGTCGAGCTCTTGCCTAAAATGCATGGGGCCCTGCATTTGAACCCTGGCACTGAAAATGAAAAAAAAATGCATTTTATATTTGATTTTGGATGCAGAGTTATTGGGGTTTAAACTCAGGGCCTCACACTTGCTAAACAGGCACTCCAGCACTTGAGCCACTCCACCAGTCCTGGTTTGTGTTGGGTATTTTCCAGATAGGGTCTTTCAAAGAATTTTGCCCAGGCTGTCTTGGAAGTGTGATTCTCCTTGTATCTGCTTCCTGAATAGGTTGGACAGCCACCGGGGTCTTGCATCTGTATTTTACTTTTTGATGTATTTTTTCCTTAAGTGTCATTTTTGTCTATTTCTTAGAAATAGTTCCACTTTTATGCAGCTTCCAGACTAACAGATGTTACCTTTTTCCATTTACTGAGATGATATGTGAAAATATCCCATGACATTCTAGATCAGCTCATTTATGATTTTGCCAGGGTTTTCATTTAACACTGGGAGTCAGCTTTATCATGAATAAAACTTTAGGTGTTTTCTTCCTTTCTGTCTTTCATATGGCAGACCAACAGTTAAATCATGCTATTTTGATGGGCCTCCTCCCCCAAACCACTAGGACTATATCTTTTGTCAAATAGAGTATGTGAATTGTAGCAGAAAATATGTTCACAGACCATAAATGACCGCTTTATCAGTGAGAGCATTCTGAGTACTTTCTTATAGGATTAGTGGTTTGTTGCTATTGGTTTTTTGTTGTGCTGGGGATTCAACCCAGGGCTTGCATATGCTACAAGAGTAATGTAATTCATTGGCTAGGCACCGAGCCTCATGGCCAGGACTAGTGTTTGCTTTAGGGGAATTGATTGCTACTGACTATTGGATGCAAGGGGGGAATGAAATTCTGTCTTTGAAAGCATAATAGTTTTTACCTGGAAGGTGGGGATAATGAAGTGCCAGTCAAATTAACAAGGGGAGCTTTGTTCATTTGTTTTTATCAGTATGTGTTTTGTCAATTTTAAGTCATGTGAACAGGAGGTCTTTGATTTTGTCTTCATCCATTCTTGTTACCGAGGAGTACTACCTGCCATCAGAGCAGTGGGACACACTTCTTCGTAAGATTTAACCTTGATTTGAGTGGGAGGCCGACAGCTGTGTTTGCACTTCTTTTTGCCTTTTTGAATTAGTATGTGAACACTGAACTGTTTCCTAGGCTATATTGGATCATTTTCTCTATAAATATAGATGTTCTTCAACCTAGGATAAGGTTACATTTCCCTAAACCCAAAGGAAGATGAAAATGTACTTTGTACACCTAATCCAATGAATAGCAAAGCTGAGATACCACTCCGATTGCCTGTGGTTGGCAAACTCATCTCACACAAAGTGTGTTTTACAGTGAGGTTTGACTGTCTCGTGGGGGAGTCATTGGACACAGTGCCCTGTGTGGATTGCTTGTTCACTCTCATGCCATGGCTGAACTGAGCCCCAGGCCATGTGTGCCCAGCACCATGAGAAAATTTCATAGCTTCATAGCACACATGGGTAGCCTAGTAAAACACCAAACATACAAATTCAAGGATACTTTCTAGTGCAAACACCCCTTTCTTACCATCTTGTTTTTGTTTTGGGTTTTTAAAAAGTCTTTTGTTCTGAGGAAGTAGAAATTATTTTTATTCTCAAAATGAGATAATGGGCTAGGGGTATACCTCAGTAGCAGTGCTCTTTTGTAGCATTTGAAAGGCCCCAGGTTCCATCTCCAGGACTGCAAAGATGAAAACAAACCTAGAGGCACAAATTAATTTTTCTGCCCATTTTAGACTTCAGTCTTTTCCTGGGGGAGAAGGTGGGGTTATTACTGGGGTTCGATCTGAAAATCGCATGCTTGCTAGGCAAGTGCTCTACCACTTGAGCCATTCCCCCAGCCCTACTGCAGGGGTTCTCCATGAGGTCAGCTCTTCCGTGAACAAAATGCCATCCAAAGCAAAATATCAAGTGTTGGGACTGTGTTCAAGACACTGAACATGTTCACTGGGAGGAGAAATAACAAGATGGTGTCTTTATTCCTTTTCTCATAAGATATGTGCTGCATAAAAGTCTGAGGGTCATTTTGGTGGAAAATTCTTCCGAGAAAACTTGAATTCTGCCATGTTGCTGCACCCTGCACTTTCAGGCCCTGACTTGAAAAAAAAAATCACAAGAAGATGCTAATTTCACATCATGCTCAAGTCTGTACTCCAGCTGTTCTTAATGTCATCTTTACTTTAAAAACACTCAGCATCCAGGGGCTTGGGTTGTAGCTCAGTGGGACAGCCCTTGCCTAGTATGCAGGCCCTTGGTTGAACCCTAGCACCCTCCAAAATAGTTCACCATCTATTTGACAATAGCAAATCAGTGGACTTAGTGTCCTTCGCAAGTTCTCAACCAAACTGAAGTTAAACTAGTACAGGAGAGGTTATGCAAGATGAGTGTTTGCCTTGTGACATATAAAAGGAACATCCCTCCCACATCAGTGCCTCAAGTAGTACCAAAGAGCATTGCCAGCTGAAGAGCAAGGAGGTAAAAGAGGAGTGTCTAGAAGAGAAAGCCCTCTGGGAGCCATGAGTGTGAGCACATTCAACTCACCGGGCTTGAGATTATGGGTCTGTGGGGTTTTTCCCTTCTATCACTGGACTTCCATCTTGGGTGGTTTGCAGAGTGCAGGATCTCAATCCATTGAGGTGGCCTGGACTCTGGTCAGTTCCATGGGAGAGGCTTCTGGACTCCTTTGTAGGCCTGGATGGCAGTGCCACCTAGACTTTACAGGCACTTCTTGTCTTGATGCCATTGGAAGACACAGACCCCTTGCCTTCTCTATATAGAATTTGGAGCTGAGTCCAAAGAATTTGGAGCCGAGTCCCAGCCACCACAGTGAGGTGATGTCATTCAGGCACCGGTGGCTCATGCCTGCAATCCAAACTACTCAGGAGGCAGAGATTATGAGGATCACAGTTCAAAGTCAGTGCTGGGCAAATGTTTCATAAGAACCTATCTTGAACAAAGCCATCACAGAAAAGAGTGCTGGTGGAGTGGCTCAAGCCGTAAGAGTGCCTGCCTAGTAAATGTGAAGCCCTGAGTTCAAACCCAGTGCCACCACACACACAAAAGAGGAACACTGTTTAGCTGTGCCATTAGCGAAGCTTCCCAGGAAGAGTCCATCTACAGGTCCTGTTCTCTGCTGCCGCTAGCTATCTGCAGCCTGAATTGTGGCACAAAGGAGCCTCAGAAGACCCAAAACTGTCTCCAGTACCTGGGTCACAGTCCAGTCAGAAGCCATCTTGAGACCTGTGGCCACACCAAGGGTCCCCACCACCTGCAGGGAGCACTGGTTCCTACCATCTTAACTGCGAAAACTCTTATGTGACACCATTGTACTTTCTGGTCATCCTTGCCTCAGTTAAAATGTCTAACTTCATTTAGTTCACAGCTGGCTATGGAACACGTCTCTTTCAGTCCCTGATGTAGGAGAGCAGTATGTTTAGGTAAACTGTCAGAGTGCAAGGATAGCAAGGGACAGAGACAATATCACTGTTGATGCAATCCTTGCTCACTTGGAAAGTAGATCTTTTGTATATCCTATGAGTGTGCTTACACACCAGCTGTGTAGACCACAAATGACAAATAATCCTGGCTCTATGTTACTAACCGGTGGGAAAATGAATTCTCCCCGTGCAGTGCTGATTCATTTGTGAGATGCACATGGTGGAGGAGAAATGCTCAGTTTTCTCTTCATCAGATGGAAATGAAGACAGTAAAGAAAATCCGTGGTAGCAGGTGACACTATAGAAGCTGGTGTGTGTATCCACCTTCTCTATGGAAAGTCACTGTGCAAGTGGTGAGAATGTCCTCACCTCTTAAGCCCGATGTCAGCAGCTGCTCTTGTGTGGGTGGGGACAGTGGGGGGCGCTGCAGACTTCCCTGCCTGTGACTTTGTCCATCATGAGTGTCTATAGAGATATAGTATAAGCCCAGTGCATTTATAGTTAGAGATACAGAAATATAACATGTGGACCTCACATCTAAGAACTTCACTGCAGTCAGAAAGCAACTCTTTCAGCAACTACTGTGTGTCTCTGCACACCAGTTTTCAATGGTGAACGCTTTAATGTATGTGATGACTTATTGAAGCAGAGAGGAAAGGGGTAAAAAGCTCCATGCACATGGGAAGGGGCTCAGAAGGGCTGAGCCCATGAGGCTCTGTGTCTAGTGGATATTATAAGGGTTTTATATCCTGGTTGAAGGAAAACTGGTTGTGTCTGTGTGCTGTTGGTCCACTTAGGGGATGTATGTCATCAGCCAGTGTTTCAGGGGGACACTGGGCCTGCCCTCCTTCCCTTTCCAATGTCCCTGAGGTCCGCCATACTGGCTGGGCACCTATTTTGTATTTTCTGTTGGGACTGTACTTGTTCACCACCTTTCTCCAGGTTCAGAATCACTCTTCTACTTTCTTTGCATAACTTAAGTGACTTCCCATGTGGCATTTGTGGCATTGGTTTTTTTCCTTTGGGCAAATACACAGCCTGCTCTGTCTCCTTTCTCCCTGGAATTCTAAAATTGCATCTCCCCTTTCTTGAACTTTGCTCACCTTCTGTTAATCAAGTCCCACTTCCTAGCTCAGCAGTGCTCCTTTTGTGACCTCCCTTCTGTCTGCCCCAAACTATGTGCTGAATTCACCACTTTCCATTTATACTTGCAGTTTGCATTTGAGGCCTTAATTTAAGAGGTAATTAGAGTTGTTTGATTTCACAAGGGTGTGTCTTCATTGTGTGAGTAGTGTCCTAGTGGAGAGAGTAGGATCACTTTCTCCATCACATGATAACTCATCAAAAAGTTTTCCATCTGAAAGCCAATGATGTCCTTCACCAGTAAGCAAAATAGCCAATCTCCAGCTCTTGAATAACTGGGATTACAGGCATGAGTCTCTGTGCCCAGGTCCAAGGCACAGAGTTCTGAGGGGTGTTTAGTCTTCATGGGCTGGGCCCTGATGAATTAGCTAATGCTACTCTGAAGTGAACTTGTGGACATGAGTTCACTCTCTTTCAGGAGAAAGTGAATAACTTGTAAGGATGTAGCAAGTCACCCTCATGAGATGCCAGTG